GTGAGCTATTTAAACAAATCAAATATGCCCTCTTGGAGGTAGAATCTTGTTTGTTTATCTATTCAAGCTTTTTATGGATAAGAATCTATTCATTTCTGAATCTATGTTCAGTATAAATCTGTAACATTTAGTTTGAACAGCTGCCTGTGGTATCAGGGAAGAAAACTCCTAGCTTTCTTTGAAATGCATAGTGCGCACTGAGCCAAATCGGATATCAAAAGTATCCTAAAGCCTCCAGCTTTCCCCAATAGAAAATTCTCTTGAAATAGCCAATCATAGTTTACTGTTATATGAAATATTTGATTTTGATAAAACGCTCACCGGTCCAATCAACGCTTCAAAATTATTCTATAATTCTTCACTTGTTTGAAATTTTTCATTAACTTGCATGATCCGTACACAACTTTTTAAGGAAGCGGCCCACATAGTCAAAAGTACCCCTAATCCATTTTTGTTTCAATAATTGCAGTTTGTTTGAGGTAAAAAGCGGAGATCTCAGAGAAAATAACCAAAGGATCGGTGGAAAAACAATGTGATGTATGGAAGGGAAAATGACGATTCTAAGGGTGGTGGGGATATACAACATGAAAATCATTATAAAGAGCACGTAGAAAATAGGGTTTGGAGGTTGTTTCATGAAGCCGAACAAAATAAATAATAAGAATTGATGACAGGCAGAAAAAAAGAATTTAACAAAAGAATACAGTGAATGCCGGGAAGAGAACGAGGCTTCAAGAATTCTTCACTCTAGAAGGAGGCTCTGTAAAAATCTTCGCCTTAGAAATTTATTTAGGATTAGTTAACCATAAAGCACCAGAACGCTAAGTTTCTGAAATCTTTAGAACAAATATAACAAAAAAGAAACTAAGAAAGACCGAAAATGTATCACTATACTCTGTGGCAGATACAAGTAATATTTCCACCAAAAATAACGCGGAGAAAATAAAATTTTCGAGTAAAAATAAAACGCTCTCCTCGAGCAGACACACATGACGGAATTCATAAAGGTCCACTTATCAACGCAAAAGGTTGACAAATGCATAATATGACATTCTTCTATAAAATCAATATAGAAATATACGTCGAGTGGCGCTGTATTGGCAATGCGTATTCCAATATGTTGTGCTGCACTCTCAGATAGTCTAGAAGCAGGTACCGAAATGGACAGTGGGTAATATTGAAGCAATGCCTGACGGGTAATATTTGAATAGAGCGGACGATTAGTAGTTGAAAACAGCGATTAGGAACAAAAACTCTAAATTTAAAAAAAATGAATCCTTTCCTTTTTCCTACCACTTTTTGTGTCTTAATCACAATAGTCACCAACAATAAAATCGATTGTGCAAAAAGTTTTGAAGTTATCCTTGCATAGTTCAATGAATCGCAGTACCAATCCTAACCATTCACTTGAAGTTAAAATTTGTCTTTTGATGTTCAATCCACAGTTGCTTTTAATTAAAACACAACCGGGCCTCTTCTATTTACAACTACATTTCGTTTGTCATTCTAGCGACGAGCAAAAAGGTATTTCGCATCCTTTTGGTTAACACCACTAATAAGCAAAGTTTGCTGTTGATCCTCAGTTCATTAGAATTGCCAACAGATAAATTCACCTAATTTAAAAACAACAGCAATGCTGAATGGAGAAACATAACCATCAGCAAAATTCAGATTGGAAGTTCATCCGCTAGCAGATGTTCATTAACATCTGCTAGCGGATTAACTTGCCGCCTTCTGCTCTATATGGTAGTGGTGCTTCATTTTCTGGTGGATTCTCGAAATGATAAGTAGCGACTTTGCTTTGCCTCGAAATGATTAGTAGCGATTTCAAAGAACAACACAGAACAGTTGAGCGAAAAACTGACACTGAAAGGTATTGTTCTTCGTAATATTTGGCGTTTCAATTTAAAAAACTCAGAAAGAAATAACCAGTAATGAATCACTCACATCCAGAAGAAACTTACTATTGCCCGTCAATATGGCCACTGGACATGCCATGGCCTCATTTGATCGCTTTTTCGTTTTTTACCGCCCTTTTGTCACCAATCATCATCATCTCAAATTCAGCACTAATTTACGGACTGTACAAAATGGAGCAGCTTAACACGATCACAAACAAATTCATTCTCCTGATGAATATTTCAGATCTTGGCATTGGAATATTCATCACGCCATCCATGACTGCAATGATAACTTTAAAAGACAAGTACCGCAACTGTGCTTTTGAACAGGTTATTCAATATGGCGTCTTTCTTCTCGCATATTTCTCCTTTTTCATGTTGATGTGCGTATCTATGGATCGTTATCTTCACGTGACGAAGCTCAAAAAGTACAATAAGTTCATGAACGAATTTCGCATGAAGGTGATCGTTGTGTTTAGCTTCATCACATCGGCAATAATCGCCTACATGTCGATCGCGATTCCTTCTTTCCCGCTGCAAGTCGTGTTGAATTTATCCAATCTTACTTGCGTTCTATTTGTGTTCATCCTGTATTCAATGGTGTTCCGTAAAATTGCTGTCCATGCCGAGAGGATCAAGAAAATGTTCAGAGATGCCAGAGAAGATTTAAGTAACCGAGAAACAAGACGAGAAATCTCGGCAACGAAAACGATTCGTTTTGTCCTGGGTGCTTTGTTGGTTCTCTATCTACCGTACAACATTAGCTCCGCAATTTGGACGTATTACAAATACCAGGAGAAGAGGAATCCCCCATTAATCATGAATGTGATAGAATATTGGACCTACGTTTTCCTGCTAAGTAATGCAGCAATAAACGCTATCCTTTTTGCATATGGTAACAGTATTGTGAGAAGATTCTTGATTGGCAAATTCTTCAGAAGTCGTGTATTCCCGAGCAGAATTTCGCCTGCTTTTCCAGAAAATTTGAATTAAAGAAGGCTCTCTTGTTGCTCTGCCCGGCCTTTGAAATTGAACGTCGAAATCTTCTCGCTAGAGTCTTTGAATTTTTACAATCATTAGGATATACCGATCTTTCAAATGAGGTTTTGATACAACTTTTGTTATATGATGATAAAAACTTCCCAAATGACCTCAACAGTACTTTAATCGAGTTGACTCTCCAATACATTCACACAACTGGTAGATTCGAATAAGGTCACTGTTACCATGCCACCAAGTCCCTTTTCATAGAGTTTCGTATGCCTACTTCTTCTTTCTTCCATTTCGCATTTGACACTAGGTTTATTATAGTGCTTATGAATATCCACCTTGACTCCATACCAATCTTCTGATTCAATTACATTATATTAGGTATAGACCTCGTCCAATGTGAAACGGGCTTAAGTATTTACCGTATATGTATATCTTTTATTTTACTATGTATGTATTATCATAATCTAGTATACGTATATATAGTGTTACAGTTTTATTATCGGTTATATTTAGATACATGTCATATCCCAGGGGGCAGTCATGTTATATTGCTCCTCCTGGGTTCCGTCCTTGTTACGTAGTTTAGTAGTTCGTACGTACTGTTTTAAGCGATTCGTTATTGTAAGTTTTCATACCGAATATATAAAAAAATAAAGTGGAAGGTTAGCCAATGACACATCTATTCCAACAAATCCCAACACTCTTTGTCGTCTTGTAGGCATTCTTGGACATTGCTGGGTGTGGGCGTGGCCAAACCAGTGCTGCATATTCATACAACATTTTCAGAAGGAACGTCTTCGACCTAGCAGCAACAAAACCATGGGATTTGACGTCATTCACTTAAACTGCTGGAAAGCTATCAACAAAAAGCGGCATCAGTTTTTTGAAGTCTATGCCAAATTTGGATTGACACCCACCAAATCTCACGTATTATAGAACCGCTAACAAAGCAAATTAAACAAAGCCCAGTTTGTGAACAGTTTTTTGGCTGTATAGAATTTGAAAATGGCTTTGAAAAAAGCAATTCAAATCTTACCATTCTGGACAATCAGAGAGTGGGCAAAATTTGGAGTGTCGTCAAGAATTCAATCTGAAAAGAGAGTCTCGGAAAAACGACATCATCTTCTTTAAATTAGAAAGCAGCACATTCTATCATTCATTTTCACTAGCACTTTATCAGATTATTAACGTTTTCTTGTGAAGCACTCAGTTTTAGGGTCTTCTATTATTACCATCCTTTTTAAAAGTCTACAAAATGTAGACTTTGAGAGGTTGACACCACTTGGTTGGCACATATACAGATTTGGCCGAGAATTCAGAAGTGCGCGATACGAAATTGACGACAGTTTGTATCATTATTTTTATCATTTTAAAAAAAACGTACGTTTTCAGCGGTATCGTGAAGGAACGTTGTAGTTTTCTTTTAAATGCGAAACACGGGTTGAGAGAAAATGGAAATCAGAAGAATCTCAAAGTTATCAGCTTATTTGATAAAAAAGTTCTTGAAAGAGCCGATGAAAGTTTTATGCTCTTTTGTCTCCTTCTTTAGATTTGATATGAAATCGTGAGTAAAAAATTCGGCTGAACGACTGTAAATATAGATTTATTCATACAATTCTGTAATTGGGAATTGATAGTTTTAAGAAACATTAAAAAAAAAGTCATACAAAAAACAAAATAAATCCTTGAATAAATTGTGCTCCTTCGTATTGCAAAAGTGGTTAGTAGCTCAACTGTGACATTTCAAAAGCTCTGATGACATTTAACTTTGATTGCATATTTGATGACATTCTATGAATAAAATATTTCATTTTCTAGCTTTAAACAAATTCCCGCTCCCGCAACTCTTGATGAGAATAAAAAAATTACTGCATCGTTTCCATATTATAAATTTCAGCTTGCTTCAACAAACGGAAAATATCATTGATAGCTATGCTAAAAAGGAAAGGCCCTAAGATTGATCCTTGGGCGACATCTAATTTCATTTCTTTCCGAGGGCTGAATGAGCGGCCAATTGATTTTGACTCGCTGCTTTCTACCCGCTAGATAACGGTACACCAATTGTAAGACATTTTTGCTAAAGCCGTATGCGTTAAATTTGGAAAGCAAGAGTTCATTGTTGAGACAGTTTTAAGCCTTGGACAAGTCCACAAGGACTACCCTGAGAAAACCTCTATTCTTGAACGTTCTCTTACAAGTCTCCACGATTGTCTCTCATATCAAATCTAGATAAACCATTCTCAGCACTAGAACCCTGACGACATGCGCAAAGGCTAGACTTGTGAATCTTCTTAACAAAAGGTAGCATTTGATTTGTCTCAAAAACTCTCAAAAACTTTATAGACTGAAGGTAATACTGTTATTTGACTATAGTTCTTTTGTTGAATAACTCGATCTTCTTGAAAAGCGCTCTAACATCGTTGTCTTTCAGTTCATCGGAAAAATAATTTTTTTTTACACTTTTATTGATAAGAAATAGCAGGTGAGAGACGACTAGGTCAACATTATGTTTAATTTTCTCAGCTGGAATGCTGCTAATATGTGAGGCTTTCTTAATATTGAGATTATCAACTTGCTCAAGAACTTCAGAAATTGAAGCCCTTCGGAAACTGAAAGCCTTGACATCTTCACGGCGACTTTCTATCAAAAGTACGCTGGAATGAGAGCGGTATACTTCACTGACTTAACTTTATGTAAACATAGAATAAAGATCTCTGTTCTGTGATTTAACTAAGCCTAATGTAGGCTAAGCTTGTTGGTCCCAGAGCAATCAAAGTTACGTAACGGACACTGTAAACTAACTATGACCAGGTTTTGACACTGCTATACACCTGTTCCGTCCCCTATTAATAAATTATTATAGGAAACCTCTGAAAAAACTTCCATTATGCTCCTGAAGCATCTACTTTCTTCAAACCCCAAACAAAGCACCATGTTGCTATATCTATATTTTCTCTTCTGGTGCTATTCAAAGTGGGCATACCTACATGGTACAGGTGATCGCTTTATCTGTACAAACACCTTGTCTGCAAAACACATTATCGGTCGGGAAACCCGGAATAGAGGTCTGTCATCAAACACTATATGACAAGCAAGCAGTAGTCTTTTTCAATTTTTAGATATATGTACCATAGACAATATTCTTAGCACCACACCAAGTCAGTGATTAACAGACCAAAAAATGAAGAAAAACAACGTTTGTAATTTCCAGTCTAGATGATTATGCTAGGACTTTACTTGGATGCGTACACATATAATTTTTATATATTTTAGAATAATTGTTATCAATAAAAAATATATTTTTGCCTTATGATTATCCATCTATAAGCGTATTTGCACACATTATATTTCTACAAATCTGATAGTGTTCATATTGTTCTTTTTGACCACAGTACTCATATTTATCAAAATGATGTCAATAAGCGAGATACCTGGAGTTGCAACTAACAACGGTCTTGTCCTATGCACAAAAGCGCGTACAGCTCGGCCTACATGACATCAGTCCTTCTATGACTGGCCAGTAAACAGTAATTTTTGTAAAATGTCACAGTTATGTTTCAAAGATCATATGTCTAGTTCAAGAAATAGCTAAACACAATGGTCTCGAGATATAACAAATCAAGATATCGCTTATATCATGAAGACTATATGATTATATTAATACTTTATAGACACATCTACCAATACTTTTAGCATATTATTTACTTATTAACTTATCACTTATTTTGCCTGACGATTACCAAACTACAAGTACGTTTGGACACATGGCATTTCTAAAAAGCTAGATTTTCATCATTGTGCAATAAAGATTTGCATCACTAAATATGATTCTTTCTAAACTGACGAGAAGGGAACATTGCAGTGGTGGCGCCAGAGGGGAACAGGGGGCTACAGCCATCCCCATTCATTATTGTGCAATATGAATATAATTCTTTCTAAACTGAAGCAAAGAAAACATTGCCAAACTTTTTCGAAATTCGTACAGGAGAGGTGTAGTGGTTAAATACCGAAAAGGCCACAAGTTATGGAGCCACACTCCCGATTTTTCGCTTCGAGGAACACGAAAATCTTTTTATACTGATATTTACACTGATCAATGTCAACATTATATGTCAAAACATAAAAGATACGGGGAAACGAAATCCTCAAGATGAAAAATCCAAGGGAGCCTGAAAGACTTATTAACATTAAGGGTATCTTCAAACTCACTATACCTGATTTTGACATTAAAAAGATATAAGTTACTCTTTGGCACTGTTTACACGGGATCGGATCCAAACAGTATCGGATCCATTTGGATCCGAACTCATTTTGAGGAGGTGTTTAATCGGGATCGGATCTGAAAATATTTGCGTTTACACGGGATCGGATCCGAATGGATCAAAGATGCGCAGATTTGTGTGCCTACTCCAATAACGAAATTTTGGCGGCAATTATTAAACTTCAGAAGGGAGAAAATTATTGGTCTTTTACAGTGATCGAAGGCTATTGTATCTGCCTTCATATTTTGTTTTATTTTTTTCTAAATAAGATGTTCTTTGGATTTTGCTTACTCTATTTTCAAGCACCACTTTCAGCAGTAGAGCCGTCTCCTCATCCATCGAACCAAAATCTTTGTTTTCTGACCCTTTATCAACCTCTCTATTCATTTTGAAAAAACAGAAATTTTGATAAATAGATTTGATAGCTGAGGTTAAACCAATTCGAGAGATTCGAAACAATAAATTTCTTGTCTTTTTAACGCCAAGTCTAGGAATGCTAGGAACACTTGATACAATTTTTCCGTAGTCTTGGAAATAGAATGCTTTCGCGTTACCTCTAAAGCCAGGTAACCAGGAAACTAATAGTCAATTGCTCCTCTTCTCATCTTTGGATTTCTTTTTTGCATGTAAAAAAGGTCTAGAGCTCATTATGAATTTCAGTCAACGATTCTTCTGTAGGGAAATTAGATATATGGTTCAAATTTACCAAAGGAGGGTCTTGATTTTTAAAATAGTAAT